GATACTATAACCGTAATAGATGTTGTCATCTTGACATGACTCTTCTAAATCAGTAATTTGTTCCCAATCATCCCATCCAAGTTCATGAGCGCTTTCCGAGGAGGATTGAATCAAGTCGTAAATTGCTGCTGAAACTATCATTGTTTCTGAAGTAAAGATTTTTCGGTACATTCTTCTCTACATTTTTTGTGTTACTTCAACACGGGATTTCCGTGTAACAAAAACAAAAAACGAGTAGCCAATGAAAAGCAAAACCAGCTTTCTTATGGTTAAACATTACACTTTTACTCTCATCTGCCAAAATGTTGATTATCGCATAAATCGATGCTATTATTTGCTCAGAGGTCTGGCGAACATGACATAAGACTATCACATCATCTATATATATAAAAAATTTTGTAATTTGACGTTGAATAAAGATTGTTAATTCACTTCGTAAGCGATGAAATTTAGTTTAATTGTAGATAATTATCCTCAAGCATGTTAAAAATTTATGGGCCTTACAGTAAGGATATGTCGTATATAAATCCCGTCACCATATATCCCATCAAAGAACTCCAAATTGACAAAGTTTTTGCTTATCTCAATCAACCAATTTATTAACAACCGTCGCTGCTTGCTGCAAGCATGTAATATGAGACACACTGGAATAGTAGTCTCACGATTACTATAGTAAAGTTACTTATTAATATGTAATATAGCACTGGATATGAAAGCCATCGACATACAAGTTCCCCAACCTCTTCGTGTCGTGAATATTTATATCTCAAGATTAATCGTAACCACTGTCATTCTTTGCCGATATTAGAATCGTCGTAGGTTATAATCGTTGTCTATTATAAATTAAACATCTTAACAGACTGTCGTTATCTGATAATCAATGTGGCTGCAGAAAAGCGAAACAGAGATGTGATAGTCGATAGCACAAACCCAGTGTTAACTGTGAGAATAAGTAAAGTGTCGAATTTACGCTAATCTTGATGACGAAGTTTATGTACAAATAAAATGCTAAGTCACGTTTCGAGCTCGGCCTTATCATGACCGACATTGTCAAAAAGAAATTGATGACTAAGACCGGTTGCTTTACACCACAAAACCAGATTTTTCTTTCTGTAAGAGCAGTTGAAAGATTGCTTAAATGCAGCTATTCATGCAGTATCTATGGAATTACAAAGATTTCGGATATTATGTTGACAAGGTAGCAAAAAACTATCAATATTCGATACATGCTAGTAAATGTTTGACTCAATAATCTGATAGTTATAGTTAAAAATACTTTGTAACAATGTGCTCAAAAATTTGATTTACGAATGAAATACTGTACTTAATTGTTAATTCAAAGCATAAGAAACGTTATGTACACATTTATTAACGGGACCTCTAATTGTAAGCACAATCTCAACTCTCGGCTTTACAAAATAATAATAACAAATAGATTGGTGCTATGTCAACAAAAGCCTTTTAAACATAATTTAATAGTGCAAATCTTAATACACGTTTAAAGTTGAGACCGAAATAATGACATACATGTACGGAAGAGATAAAATAACAAAGTAAACAAACAATGCGTGCACTTTAAAGTTATCTTTAAATTTAAGTTTTTCTTATAAGACAATCTTTGCTAGGTCAACGAATTGCGTACAAACATTCTTGGACCTATTTGCCATACTAGCATTTAACTTCATTCTTTTATCCACAGAACGCCTTTAGTTTTCATAATTGTTTAAATGATAGCAAGCTTACCATTCGGTCAGGAATAACGATAATAATTATTATAATTATAAAATAATTTCCAGCAGATTGGAGTAAAGATCCTAATAATAATACTGCAAGTAAAGGTTAATGTAACACAACACATAATTCTATTATCGATAACGTTTTTTGATACCTTGGGCCAATAAGCGTTGGGGGGTCGGTTGCTAGCTCGTTGATACTTGACTAATATCAATATGCCTATTTTTTCTTTCTTGGAGACAAGACATTATTTGTCCGAATGTTATGTACTGTGGGGATTGCCGAATGCCTATTACATTTACATTTTTTGTAGGACAGAGTTTCGAATCTATATTGCATCTTGTTCAGGAGAATAGGGATGACAAAAAATATGTGTAGAAGGATAGATGACATTTCTTATCTTGTTGGGTGCGATTGTTCACTAAAGTAGTAAAACTCCAAGTGCCTCGTTGAAGCAATCTTAGAATTATATCCATTATATCGTACAGCATACAACGCGTATGAGAATTTTGTGCGTGAGAACTTTGTGTATGTGAATTCACATTTTATTTGTAAGCATATAAATAGTCCCTATGGGGAAAATCTCTATAAATAATTCGGGCTATATTGCAATATACCGCATTCGGTTTATAAAAAGCCTTTAGTCTTGGTTGGGGGGTAAATAGCGAGTTAAGTGTAAATTAAGTCTTAATTAATTAATTTGTAATCTTGCATCGAAGTACTGACAGACTTGATGAACTGTTCTGTTAATGATGGAAATAAACCGCTTATTTCCGAATTGTCATTGGTCTATCTTGCAGTTACAGATAATAGCGTAAATGTTATTTATAAACTGTACAAAGTTACTTTTAATATTAATGCTTTATTTAAACACGAGCATCAAAACGTATGTCTTCTTTGCAGTGCATTCTTTTTCTCACGATATACTAATATTAATAGATTTGATTGTATCAACACTATCAACACTATCAACACTATAGATATTATACAAATTGACGCACTCTTTGAACGGCTAACATTTAGAAGAGTTATCAGTAGAATAAGCATGATAATTTAGATTTTACATTAGAATATAGACCCAGTCGATTCTATGCTATGAGCACTTTACGATCGTAGAATAGTACCATTACTATTTCATAATCAAGGAGAACCCCGTGGCAATCCTTTTCATAACGTGCTACCTACCGCGGGGAGTATCCCAATGCACAGCACATCGAGTTCTCTGTAAAGCAACTATCATTACGATTTGTCACACGTTGATTACTGCGATTTTGCAATTGTGTTTGAATTTCTAAATAAAAAAAAATCTTATTGTTATAAGCTTGAATGATAAGAGGGGATATGCATGAAGCCCGCATCAGAAGGAACGAATACCTACATTGCACAGGACGTTTGTGTCAAATTCGGAATTTAACATTATGCGGGACTGTCGTATAACCATGTGACTTGCAACAAAAATTCGATAAAGTAAAAAGACTTTAACTTTTTCTCTGACGAAATTCCGGTTATCCGTGTTTGCAAGATCATGGTTGGCTAGTACTAGTACAACATCAAGATAAGATTCCATCCAGGGCTTATTTCAAATCGTAATAAACATTGCAATGTAAATAAAGCAAATACAGGTAATAGCGAAACGAGCGCAGCATGGTTATTTCCGTTCAATTTATACACATAATAATAAGGTAGAGGCCGTGCCATAAGAATCCAGGACACACTTTATGTGATTTACTTATTTTTAGCCTGACTCATTATGCCCGCTAGCTAGCATTAACAAATATGGGAGTTATACGTCAGAAAATGTAAGAACAATTAGTATAAGCCAATCCAAGATGCTCGAGTTGATCACATCTGTCGTCATAGCCATACGAAACGTCTACCGACAAAATCAGCTAACGATATAATTATCGTTTCTCTCGAAATGAACAATAAAACGATTATGATTGTCAAAACAAATGTCACTCGTATGATATGATGATGTAGATTATTGTGTGTATTCAGGTAATTGCCTAATTTTGATAACGGTTTCTATTTTGGGTCATCAATAGTATTCTTAGCTTCCTATTTGGGATATTTTTTAATTTATCATCGATGTCACAATGATTATTTCTAATATGTTGTGTGACCAACCCTCAAATCATTACTCACCCCTAAATTTTAATATATCCCCGAACTTCCAAACTCTGTTCTTTATTTGCTTCTAATTGATTCTGACTGTCAATTAGTGTTTCCCATCTGGTACATTCACAGCGGGCAAAAACACCTTCTGAATTCATGATCAATAGAATCTAAAACTTTGACTAATTGTTAACTATTTAGCCAGCTCGCTTATTAGCATGTATCCGACTATCCTTATTAGGACAACAAACGTTTCAACTTATCTCCGCACCGCACAAGAAAAAGAATAATGGAAGAAAAGTTGAGAGAGAACAAGAACATAATAATGTACTTGTTGACAAGTCTGTTTCATACACTATACTACAATATAAGTTGGTAGGACACATATAACGATCAATGTAGAAATCGGTGGATTAGTATAGAAGGGGGTTTTCGACTAAACGTTCTTAGCCAATGAGTATTTGTTTTTGCTTGTGGTCAAGTTTCAAAATACCCGTCCACATATTATCCAGAAAATACGTAAATATTGATCTTCTATATAGGTATAGCTAATAAAGGACCAAGCCTTCTGTATCCGCATTGTTGGTATTATATATTGAAATCTGTAACCCAAACATGTCTTATGATTTGATTAATATTACACCAAAAATTTTAATCGTTGGGCAATACATAGTGTGTAATACTTTATACTATAAGTTTATGGTTCTAGTTATCCATTTTTAACTCTTTTTTTTTTTTGAATATAAATATATAGATAGTCGGCAATAAACATTCCCGCTCCATTTTTTACTTGCTTATTACACATCCCCCCATCCCCTCCTCTCTCAATAATCGCAGCATTAACTAGCGGCATTCACTAATTCAAAGAACTGCTATCCTGGTATTGATAGCATTCACACACTCTTTATTTTGTTTCAACTACTATCTTTCCTTAATCTCGGATATTCGTGATGGACCCGTCATATCCATCACCTGCACCAATGTTGAACACCACCGGAATAAAACTGGTCTGCTCTTTCAGCACCGTGAGCAATTTTGCTTGCATCGTGATGTTATTTTGTATAGTATACAGAACACACGCACATCAAGTAATTAGCAGACTGTTGTTAAATCTGGCTATATCCGATTTTATACAAAGTATCGGATTTATGATGAGCTATCGTTGGCTAGCTCTTGACAAGATTGTGCCAGGAACTTATTGTAATGCCCAGGGCATAATGATTAATATTGGGGATGTTGCATCAGGTACGGAAAAGCATACAATGGGAAAGCTGTCGATATGGTAAAGTTTTTATTACCAGGATATTAAAAAATCTCATCCTTTACATTTACAGGCTTCTGGGCAATGGTGATCTGCATTCACTCGTACTTTCTCGTAGTCCACTCGTACGAACACAAAAATTTAGTTCCTGTAGCGATGGCCGTTATATGGCCGTTAAATATCTTTATCGCATTTGCTGGCCTTTTAATTTCAACACCTGCGGTACCGTTTTTCAACGCTTCTGGATCATGGTGTTGGATATCTGAGGCACACTCGATATATCGTATTGCGTTTCATTATGGCCTGATTTTACTCATAGCGACTGCAATGTTGTTGATATATATAATGATGTTTATCGTGCTGTACAAGAAACAAGTGGCTCTCCGCAAAGTGAATAGAAGCAACAAGGTTTTACAGAATGTTGCAAAAAAGTTGATTTGGTATCCATTCGTTTACATGATGCTAGTATTACCTTTGGGTTTACGTAAGTAGTTTTTTTTTTATTTCGGTACACTACACATTGTTGTAACTTTCGACTCGACTAACGTATAAATTTCTTGTTTCAAAATTACAGAACGACTGGCTGCAATGGGAGGAAAAGAATTTCCTGCACAATAGTAAGTAAAACATTACATTGTTATCAAGAAGCATTTGTATTTTGTAATCGATTGTTTACTAAATATTATCCATCTTGAAACAACAGCCTAGTAGTCGCTGCTTGTATATTCACATCTGCCGGAACCGTCAATGCAGCAATATATGGCATAACTCGCAACATAATATCAGTGAAACCCGTATTTGAAATTATACCAACCATTAAACGTCGAATTACTATTAACGAAGGAGCATCACGGTTAGACATACCAGTGCATACGACAATCATTACTGTTGTCACGACAACTACCGTTGAGAGCAGTAGAACCAGCACTTTGATAAACTCTGACGGGATTAATTTGGAAGAGAACGCAACCGTGAAAGCAAACCAGGAAGATATGGAAGGACTGGTAGACGTAGAACTAGACACAAAAGAAACGCCAAATTGAGACGGAATTTTTAAAGATTGATTGGTCTTGTGCGTTTTCAATCTATACATTGTTCATTGTCGGGATGAGCAGTGACTTATGATTCAAATTTTATTACAACTTTTTACATACATAATTCAGTATTATTACTATTCTTTTTTGTTCACTACAATATGCTTCTTTCCCTTCTTGCAATTTGTATTGTAAATATTCGTGTATTTAATAGAGTGTTGATAATTAGTGATATATTTGTTGTAACTGCAATATAAACAAAATATGTGTAATGAGCCTTCATACTTGCAAATGATAGTAGTTGAAATAAACACTTGCCGCTATTTTGTATACATACAAACTTTTTTTGATGGTTGCTTTCCTCTTTCATATAAAAAAAAACAATGAAATCCTAATATGTATTTAAACATCTTTCTATTTAGAGAATTTCATGGCTTGCGTAATTTGCGTGATTTTGTTTGTGTTATGTAGACACTGTATTGCATCCTTTATATAGCGATGCCCCAATGCGTGTAGATGAAAATGATCGCATTTGGCGATGAAATCCTTGGTGCAACTAGATGCGATTGGTTAACAATGGACATATTCGGTTACTCGTTTATTATTATCAGCAGATCATCTCACAAACGGTCAATCGGTCTCTACATAACAAATAAAAGATAGGCAATGTATAAAATTGTCCTGATCCGAAAGCCTTGCGACAATCCTTACACAATCAACTGATTATCATTAGTTTATTGGACCCGGTCATTTGTAATGCTATCGATGCACAATGACGGAATAAGCCATTCATTTTACAAGTCATGTGAGGGGCGACATTCTGCTTGTCATACATTAATCATATAATCATAAGGTGATTCTTATCATCGCCGTCATCTGATAAGTGTATTCTGTTATGGACTATATTTCATATGACCATAGTATCGAGCCGACGGAATACTGTTATTGGTATATCATATTCAACAAGTCTTAATTAATGTCATTTTGACCCCCTGATGACCGTTATAAAGCTCTGAACCGAGCGTATCGTATCGTATCAGCTCATTTGTGATGATAGATTCACAATCGATAACAAAAGTGACGCAATGCCCGAAATCTGAGTAACGAAAATCACTGAAAAGACAGGTGACCATGCTCGCATCTAAATTCTCATTTCCTCATATGAGTAAAATGAATTATTTCATATCCCATGACGTTAATACAGAAATACTTTCCCTAGTAAAGCTAACGGTTATTTCTTGGCGTGGGGGTTGTAAACGGAGCAGTCAGTCCATTCGCGTGAGAGCCATGCGGACGTTATGTAATACGTCTTCTATTCGGCCGTCTAAATTGAATGTATTAATACATTTGTATTAACATATGTTAAATATATGTGTTAAGCAATTGGCTTTCTTATGTCTCATTCGCATACATTCGAAATTTGAGCACAAAGCTAAAGAGGAAGCCTCTCTTTAGTTTGACACGTAGACGATATTATTTATATACAAATAATCTAAGTTATCATTCTGGATCATATTTAACATATTAATTATTTGAGTTGTTATTAAGAATTTAGTAAGGACCCGAATCTTGAATCAACATTAAAAATATGATGCAATGTATTTTCTTTTTATTACTATTACAGTTTTGGCCAATGGTAGTAAAGGGCAACAATTAGTTCGAATCAAAAAAGTTAGATTTAACAAGCTAGCGGCTAGACAATTTTCAATTTTAATAAAAGTTGATTTAGAAACTGGTACATCATTGACTGTTAAAAATATCTATTTTAACACTGAAGCCGAAGAACAATAACCAATTTGCTAGTTAGGGCAATTGCATAATAGAAACTAAAAAGTGAAACTTATTTAGCAAATTTAACAAGAAAACAGACTAAACATATGTAAATTTTCAACAGTCATTTACATGGTCACAATGCAATAGCGACATATTATTAGATAACAACTGTTACAATCGACCATGATAGGAAAGTATGAAGCATTTCATTGATGTATTACGACATTGTTTCTAACGTGGTAGTAAAAATGGCAGCAACACTAATAGTGGCGACGGTAATTATACTAAGTATAGTACGTAACGTATTCATTATCACTTTGCCGCTCTAATTTGGTATTGTGTACTGCATCTGTCGATAATCCGTATCAGACCACACGATCAGTATGACGTATGCTAATATGAATACGCTTGCGGGCGTAAATAAACACGTAAAATAGCGTTAGAAATATACTGTATATTGCATGATATATAACAGCGATAGTAATGGTGAACGTGAACGAAACAGAAGTGTCAAGTCATTACAATCTTGGTATATGTCGTATGATTTAATTTCATGTACAACCCTTCTTGCCCTTTCTTTACACGATTTCTTCTTTACAAATGAATATGCTGCATTGATATTCGAATAACGGTATTGATACAGTGCCTGGCCAAGGGCTTGCTAGTTTTGCTGACCCCAATAATACTTGTAATAAAAATACAACATGAAATCCCCGAAGCGTAACTTATGAGGATCTTCTCCTTTCATATTGATATCAAGTAAATATGGTTATGCACTCAAAGATTCCCATTAGGTCAGCGTATAGTATAATGGCTTGAATGACACAAAGAACAAAGTTTAATCATACTGTAATCAATTTTACACCACCTGCTTGTAGTTCTGAACAAAAGCAGCAGCGCTCGTTCCTGCCTTCGGCCTCTCCTTTATTAGCAAACATTTGGAGTTTGCGTGAAATTACGGAATCACAGAGTTAAACATAGTGGGTGACAAAAAAAGCCACCTAACGACAATGGTATGGGAATTTGGCCACACAACGATAAGGCAAAAATATAATTGTAGTCAAAGTAGTACAATTATATATTTAGTTAAATGATGGCGTAAAATGAAGTTCTCACAAATTCCCGTTATTGGCATCAATAACTCCTTCCCATTGATACGGTATCTCTCTCAACGAGACGTTGAGACGCCGAATGCTGTTCTCAACTATGGTCTTATTGGCTTGTAGAAGAAAGAAGCTTCCATATTTTAATTAATATTTCTCTCTTCAGTATAATCGCCCATTCCTAATACCATATAAACAAGATAAATCTAATCAACACCTTAGTAATACAAATGCAAATCTTATCGGTTTGTTGTCAAGATCATCTCTGTAAGGGCATCTTCCGCCCTCGTACGTCAAGGAAAAACCCGTTTGTCATATTAATATCCCCAGACCCCCAAAGCCATCTAAGAACCAGTCGTTCCACTATTGTTTCTGGTGATAATGTTACAAATATTAGAGAATTGAGTTATCTTTATTAATAAAATATTTACTGGAATCTAACTTTTGCCGAACATGGTAATTTGTTTTTGTGGGATAATTACACAATCATGTGTTGTTGATAGAGAAAGATTGATTAGAATCAGCCTTGGAGCTGAAAGCTACACACTCTCCAATATATCGATATTGTGTATATTAATTGGTACCAGGACGATTGATAAACGTCTATCCTATGCTTATATATTGAATTTTCATGAGCATAGAAAAGGATACTCTTTTTCCTTGCCGATGACACTGTGAGAGAGAGAGCATGCCATGCAGTGTTAATACATTCTCGTTGCGTTTCGGAATTTGGGTTCACAAAGCGCAAGGGAGATCAGGGGATGGTGACACATTCAGCTACGCCTCCAGAGTACCTATACTAAGAATTGCATATCGATAGGTGAGGTGATAGGCCTTCCTTGCATAGGTGTTTGATTGTAGGAATAGATTTGCAGTTTTCTTCGTTTCATTAGACATCGACTTGAACACATTCTTTTTTCTACTTGCTCCAACGGATGATCTTTGGTTTGTCATGAGAAAAGCAGCTCCTCGGCAGCATTGCATTGCATAAAGTAAAGGCAATCACCATCATGGGATGGGAACAGAAATTTATTACAGGATTCCAATCTAAACAGTACTTTCTACTCATCATTCTCAGTTTAATAATCACTTTTACAAAGATTAATATTGTTGAGATGCAAGCAGTTTGTCATTTGCAGCTCTCATTACACTTGACAAAGGACATTCTACTGATTCGCCTGTACATGCTCGCTGCGCCTTTGAAGAAATGTTTCAGAATTTGGCAAGCAGATTAAACCACGTCACAAAGCCACTTTATGTGACGTTAAAATCTCACCTTGCAGCAGAATGTCCCATATTCGATGGGAAAAAAAAGGTGCTCAGACCACACAAATTGAAAGGTGGAACAAATAATAAATAAATAAAAGTCCCGGCCTTTATTGGCATGGTACCTTTCTTGTAGTGAGAATGACCCATCAATTGTGTCACTTTTACGATAAACTAGATTGATTAAGAGCATATGTTTCATTTCCTGCGTATCTTCCCGACTATGATACAATAATGCCCACTACTTGTCCCATCACATCACATATATTGACTATCACGTTCTCTGGTTTTTGATTTGTATGTCGGAATCTCCTCCCACTTGACCGTCAAACGACCAATACGCACTATACCATACGTTTATGTTGCGAGACGATCGCTAGTCACACGGGTTAGGGTCGGGTTACTACATCTGAACTGAACAATCGTTCTCGAGTCAGCTTGTTCGGATTCCTTGTCTCCAGTCATATGCAATTTTGAACTGCATTGGAAGGAGGGTAATGATCGCCTAGCTCCAAACGGGAGGACTACATGCTTTGGTGTATGGTGAACATGAAGATTTGTTCATCTGCGGGTCTCTCTGTTTCGTAGCACATATGATTGCCGGATGAGCCGTAGCCCATACTGTACTGATAAATGTATATATCTGTGCAAACAAATGGATTATGGTTTTGTTACACATTGAACCTGTGTAGCTAACTTTTTTCCTTTTCGCTAGTTGTTCCGTTCCTGCGCCCTTCTTGGGTTATTACGGAGGAATGGGCATAAATGACCTGATATACCCATTAGTTCATATACTATGCATGAAATGGCTGACTGTTGAATAAATGGTCAACATGTCACTATTATCAGGCTCAGGTTAAACATATGTGTTCGTTGTTCATTGTCGATCATGGTCCTTGAATGCTATCATAATCTGTGGCGCGGATAACAGGATAACAGTGGTGGTGATTGTATAAACGTATAAATAACTCCCGTCACACAGTATATTTCTTACACTGTATATAGCATATAAATGCAGATATGCGGCATTTGTAACAGATAATCAACTTGATACTGCATTTGACGCCGAGTACAGTTGTCAGTTACACATCCACACCTTTCAACTCTTTGATCATCCGCACGCGGTTATATAAATCGCTCTTGCCGCTCATCTTGGTCTTAACCCGCTGCAAACGAAAAATACCAAAAAAAATATATATCTTAATTATTTATTAGAGAAAAAGTACACATATTATCAAACTATCCCTCGCCATCTTGTCAAAATGTCTTACTATGCTCATTGGTATGAACAGAGCATCCGTCAGAAAAGACCAGCTCTCCATTCCAATCCATCTACCCAAAGCATACCCATAGACGCTTCTCAGCCTGATGTTACGGCAGCGCAGGTCACCGTTTGCTCTCTACACAATAGGCTTGTCTACAATCTCGAATTCAAACCATGCGAGAGAACTCCTTCACATTCCCGCAACAGCAGCTATACACCAGAGCACACAAATCATAACGAGCGCATAACTCATAGTCAGAATGACCAACATGTTGCATGGAAAAACGCTCACGAGATGGTGTATAATCGAACGAGCGATAGGGAAAGAACGGGAAGTAGCCAGTCTACAGAGTTGTTGAAGGTGGACGATTTGATAGATGAGTCACTATGGGACGATTGGATTGTAAAGTTTATCAATAACGATGAGGAATCAGTCTACAGCGACGACAAGCCTTTCGAAGATTGGGTATGTAGTTCTTGTAATTCTTGTTGTTATATGGTGCGGCAGACTTGAAGATGAACCATCTGTCATTATTATCAGTTATTTGTTTGTCCGTCCATTATCCGATTCCTCCGATTTCGTAACCACATGACTAATCCTTTTATGCTATTCTGATAACCATTATAGATTTTTGATGCAATGTGAAACCAGCCTCGGCGTAATCCATACAACACACATACATGCACGGGCTCTCTCATCCATACATTCGCCTCGATCGATATTGAACCGTCGAACTAAAAAATGGACGATTTATATTTATTAGCACTCTATCTTTTGTCATAAACACTTTTCAACCGAAATATCATTTCGGTTGTTTGTATTATACTTGTTTGTAGAAACTCTAAAATTGTTTTGTTTTTGTTTTTTTCTTTTGTTTTTGTCTTTTTTCTTTTCTTTTATTATTTCGAGATGTCACTGTTGAATACTGCGAACATCGAAATTCTATGATAAAAGTATTACCCTACAGACACACACACTTCTATGATTAGACTAGTAAATTAGTTGAAGTTTTCTTTTGCAAGAAGAACAAACAAGAATAATGAATTAATAAGAATTTTTTAATATTGCTTTCTTGCAGAAGCATTCTCAACTAATTTTCATATGAAAAACATTATAAAAGTACAACAGTAACCTATACAATTAACACACACAAACGCTTCCTTGCTTTCCATCATCTTACGCATCGACACAACTTCACCTGTTCGTTTTCGTAGATATTTATTCGCTAAGTCATTCGTCAATTCGCATTTATTTTGTAGACATTTCCGAGATATTAAAGTATCTTTCATTTGTACATTTTCTTTGCGGTCTAAACATGAAGTGGCATTATTTCTAGTACTTGTATTGTTTCCCTTATACTGTATATACAAGAGCAATATGCTTTTACCAATAAACAAGTTCTACTTGACCTATGGATTAAATCGTATGCATCATTAATATTAGGGTAGTAGGAGTGGTCAGTGCTACACATTCCGTAGCCATTTCACACCATGTTTCTCACCATGCAAAGCCTGCCTTCCACAAACATTTTAACTGAGACCAAGCCATCTTCAACCTTTTGCGGGTAACCAGAAATAATTTAACGATAACCCGTAACAAAAAGCTCCTTAATGACACAATAGGCAAGTCAATTTTTTATGGGCTTACAAAACAGGGCGAACGAAAGTATACAATGCGGCCGCCGACAATATCACATTGCATTTAATTAATATTAATGGATGTGAATAGATTAATTTTAATATAATGAAGACTATATCTTACAAATCTAAATGCACTGCTCACATTCGATTGCAGTACTGGCAAAAGTCTAACAGGTTTTGCATTGTAAATAGATATGGGCTGTTGATCGACCCGATTACAAAAAAGCCACTTGATGCATGCCATTATTTATAGCAATATATTGAAAAGAATTTAATAGTTTCTATCTGCAACTGGTGGTATATGGTTAAAGCTACGCCCACCATTGTTACATGTTTTACTTGTTGACAACAGGTTTTTGTCCCATCCTACCAGCAGAGTTCCGCTACGTCCAAGAGTTGTTGACTTTTAAAGCATGCGTACTGCTTTGACGATCAATGAGATGTCTACTTGGGCAAGTATAATAAGCCATTGTTGCTGTTGCGAAAGTTTCTTTGTACTTCAGAGTTACATCAATATCTACTTCTAAAATTCTCACTTGTTCTATTTTTCTCACAGCATACAGCGACATCTGATACTGTATCTCTACTATTTATTGTTTATTGAAATTATAAAATGATATAGTTTATTGTTTCTATCTATTACTATTATTGTTTATAATCATATTTATGAAACGTTTCTCCGCGATGCATTCTTTGTGTACAAAATCTCGTTGGTGAAATGTAATCAGGCTGGGCTGGTTGTTGAACATTTTGTTGCTTTCCTTGAGTTAACAATCAGGCAGTTAGTATCAAGACGATCAGTACCTGTTGGGAAAAAAAAGCTTAGTCACTCACATATTGTTTGATGGATAACAATATATCATTATCACGCCGATCTAACAAAAAGCCATTGATTATTAATACGGATAACCGGACACATTTCCAGAGTGCATTAATAAAGTCATCCTTAATATCATATATCTTGGTATTGCCACAATCGTATAAGACTGACTAAACTCCCCGTCTCCTATCACTCACTCTTATCGCATATATGAATTAGAAGGTCATTATTTCAATGTTAACCGTAATACAACATAACGCTGTGTAAAGCGTGCATTCGGGCAGGCAGGTAAACGAAACCTACAAATGGACATCTCTGTGTCCACGAACCACGTTGAAGCAATGCAATGCAGTTGGCTGATATGCTGCATATTAAACATATCATCCTACCATAGTCAACTCACATGCTAACTTCCATCTTGGTACGACTCTTGGAAGGAATGATGATATAAGGCATGCAGTAATAACGGTACCACGTCGTCACAAGCAAAAAAGTTTTTGGCTGAAGAATATTTGATGCTATTGTCAAAAAGTGGTTCTACATCATATCTGTACCGTACAAATAGGAAACCTTTTAACATTGTGGAAGAGTTGACATCAGCGCCAAGTTGTTGGGAGATTCTAACGGTAACAGCTACAGTTGTGTAAGGTTTATATCACTCAAGCAAGTGTCACTTGAAGTTATAGTATTTGTTTGAAATAGACAACGGTATCCTTTATTCCATGGTGTACTGTTTACCATTATTATTAAGCCTTATCAACAATATAGTCATATATGTATAGATTTGAATACACGTACAACGTCGATTTTATTCTTGCCAGAAATTTTGGATGGTTAAGCAACTCGAGTTTAACAGATACAGACCAACTCAGCAATTCCATATGATTGTATTTAATCGCGCCGACATGTGATCTACCCGACCAGGACAACTGAGTTCTAGACTGAGACAGGTCCCCAACTGAGGTGCAACAATACGTACGTACATGCACTAAAGTATACCAACTTTGATAATATTGTCTAGTGGTTTGAACAGAATATACCAATATAAAAACTAAGAATAGAACGAGCACAAATGTACATTATGGTATTTCTGGACAGTATAATCCAAACCGAAATTAGATTGGAGTGCCGAGACAATAGCTTAACTTCCTGGTAAGTACCCACGTGATGGAAGTTAGTGAAATGTTAATTAACCAATTATTATCCTAGCAGATTTTTTATATCGTAGATAACCCTTAAGCAGTACTATCAAATCAATATAGTCTGCCGACGCTTGAATTAATGTTGTTTGCTCTATGAACTGTCAAACTATATATGACGTGGAATACATAATGTGAGTAAATGCTTCATGTGTTTCGATAAAAAATTGAGTTTAGTAGCTATTTTACTTTACTTACGCCTAACGTTTTCGTACCACTGAGAAACAGTTATACTTTGTAGATTGTCGGTGACCATGTTTTGAAACTTAATTTTAGGCGTAGATGTACAACAAGTTTGTTCGGAACGCGCATATCTTATAGATTTATCTTACAAAATAAACAGTTTATTATTAACAAATGGACAACTGGACTGATTCCCATCTTAAAGCTTCTTGGCCATCTATCATCCTAAAAACAATCCTCATCATTAATGATCACCACCATTACAAAATGATTGCAACTCTTACAGCTATAATGTCCATAGTTTCTATTACACACTCGAAACTTATAATAACAAAACTAGTGCGGGAGATGGGAC